CCTTGTGTATCCTTTCATTCCTTTCCCTTGAATGTCTTTGCTCTTCTCTAGAGTCCAGTCAGCGCTCGGTGCAGGGCACAGTCGAAGGAGTTGCAGTGACAGGATAGATACCTTGGTCTATTGTAATGGAGGATTTCATCCCTGTTCCACTGAACATTCGTTCACTGGGATGAGAGAGGTAGAGGGAGTTGATGGAAGATGGGCATTACTTCATGAAAAAGCTGTAGGAAACAGGAGACAATTTCTGGCACTTAACTACAAGCTCGGTTCCAGTAACATGGGCATTCATGTAGAGTCCTGAGAAATACTTTCTATTTGATATGGTTTATTCAGTAAAGCCACAAGGCAAATTCTAATCTCCCCTATTTCTTTTGAGAACCAGTACTTTATATGTACATGGTTGGTGATTTGGAGTGTGGGAAAACTCACTAGTAAAAGGTTTTTAGTTTTTGAAAGCATTTTTCTATCACCAACACCTACCTAACTTAAGGGGCTTCAAGAGAGAGGAGGTTTAGAAGATGTGAACACATGTGGAAAACTCTTCCCCAAGCAGGAAAAGATTTGGTGAGGGAGATGGGTGTGTTGCAGAGGGGAGAGGTGCTGACCTTTTTAGCTCAAGGAACAATGCTTCTGAGTTCTGAGGGAACTTGTATATGAAGTTGCCCTAGACATGAGACTGAACTGCGGCTTGGCTCCCGGTGGGATACTACTTCTGACAAAGCAGAGTGTATTCTCACCTCTCACTTCTCATCCTCCTTTCACTCTGTCCTGAAATTCCCACCCTAAGAAAGCTCTGTTACAGGGTCTTAAGGGAAACTTGCTGAGGCCAGGTTCAATCAAATTCCTCTTCAGTTGGGACTTTCGTCGTCCAGTATTTCACGACCTATAGGGGTACAAGTCGCCATTAAGAAACCTCACCCAACAAAGATTCACTTTGGGTCTTAGGGCGTTTCCAGAGGTCCTAAATTGTTTCCAGGTCAGATGATGGTAGTGAAGACCACGAGGTTTTCATCATCTACCAGCATTTTGGCACAATGCTTGGCACATAGTAGGATCTTAATAAATGTTTATTGATATAATTAGAAAAGAGAGCTAGGTTTTGATGGAGCTGGGGGAAAAAAAAGAGCAGGGGGAGCCCTTAACCTGCAATGATCTGAAGGGCACACAAAGCATTTGGTTACCTTAGATGGCTCTGTAAAAATCTCAATCCCAATCATTGCATTTGCGAAAATGTCTGTACGTTTTAGGGGAAGGGAAAACCTGGCACTGTCTAACTGCTGAATTAAAGTGGGCAATTTGGATTTGTGTGAAGTTTTGTTTTATTGCCTCAGGGCAAAAGGCTCTAGCTTCAGATTTTGTCGAACAAATATGCTGATTGATAAATCAGCTGATTTGTTTGCAAGCATTTGATTTGTGTTTGTCAAGAGTGATTTTCTTTCCTAATCAAACCATTTTGTCTTGCCACCTCTACAAGGTAAGGATGTTTCAGGACTACAACTTTACCTTGGTGCACTAGGATTCAGAGCCCTAGGAGCCTCAGCTGAATATTGCCTAAGGAAGCCCAGACTCCCGGTTTTGGATCCTTCAGATATTAATAATCCCTAACCCAAGAAAACACTGGTTTCTCCGAGCCAAGAGCAGCATTGGCAACAGTAGCATAAGAATGACTGGTGGAGCAGAAAGAAGGGAGCCTATAATTAATTAAGTGTGCCCAATTTAAGGGATTTAGTCGCCTCTGAGTTGACTTGTGCGATCTGTCCAATTATTTCTAATAGTGTCATTGAGTTAAGATAGGGAAAGAAGCTAAGCACCTTCTTCCAAAACCCCTGGATTGGCGTAAACTGCCTCTTTGCACCTGCAGTTTGTATTGAACAAGGCGGAGACCATTAGTTTAAGGAATGGGGCGGGGGGGGTGTGCAGGGGCGAGAGGAGGGGAAGAGTAAATATTCCAATCTTTATAGGCACTTCCAGGCAATTTATTCTGGAGTTGGGGAGAAGTGGGGTAGGGTAGGTAGACTATTGGGTGCTTTCTTCCGTTAGTACCAGAAACTGGCTAGAAGAGGCTGCTTTCAAATTAAGGAGTGAGGAAGCTCAGAAAGTCGGTAGAAAGATAAAGGACATTAAAAAGTCCTTTCTAACTTCAAGTCCCTATTGCCTAGGGACTTGAGACCACTTCTCTTCCCGCTTCGTAAAAGAAGGTGAGTTGGATGGTTTTTAGCCTACTGTCGTTTCCAGATGAAATTAGCTTTTCCTGTATGGAAGTCGGGACGCCTAAGGGCACAATTCAAGACTTCTGGGCTTCTAAAACTCCACTTTCTGAACGGTCTCTCGCTCAACGGGGAGCGTCCTAAGGACTTCCTCTTTGTATGAATCAGGAGGCATTGAGCAAGGCCGGGACTGTGCTGAGAGCTATTTAGAGTGAAACTAACAAAGACAAGAGAAACCCAAATTTAAACAGAATGGGAACCAAACATGTAAGAAAAGCTGGAGTTTCTCGGGACCTTTTGGAATCGACCAGGAGGCAGTCCTCAATATGAGACATTATTGAAGGAAGCAAAGGCAGAGGAGCACAGTTGCTGGGAGAGAGATTTGTAATCTGAATTTTAATATTAAAAGGCACACTGAACTTAGATCTCACTCCCAAGCAAGTAGACCGTGCTTTGCTGGCTTAAAGACCTGGAGCACCTCTATAATTTTTAATTATTGTCTTCTCTCAGCCAAGCTTCTCACAACCTCATCTTACGAAATTCGTATTTTTGAAATACGAATCTTGGTAGAATTACAAAATCATAAAGTATAAGGATTGGAAGGGCCATTTCTAGTTCAACAACCTCATTTTATAAATGAGGAAACTGAGGCCCAGAATGTAATGGCGTTGGTGTTGTATGAAAGACATAAATAATTTCAGACTTTCCATTTCTGGGGGTGAGGTGGGAGATCATCAGAAAAACCGAAAACTCTTTACCCGGATTAAATTCCTAGTGACTCGTCGTGCTAATTGACTAGTTCCCCCCCCCCCCACCCACCCCCATCCCCGGGAGAGACCTTTTTTCTCGTCAGAAGCCTTAGACATTGACTCCTCTAAAGGAAATCTGCCTCCTTTCTGTATGAAAGGACCTTTGGTGAAAAGACAACTATCACTCCCAAACTTCACTCTGAGTAGCCCTTGGTGTTTTGTTGTGCGTGTGTGTGCTTCAAGCACATTGATTTTCATCCAAAAGGGCTAATTACATTACTTACAGTAAATAGCAGCCCTGCTGTCCAGAGTCTAGTGTGCCAACAGAAGGGGGGGGAATCTTCGGCTTATTTCACTTGGTTGACTTCATTTTTGTGTGAAATGGTGTTTTATGAGCTGCATTCTGGCACGCCGAGGAATGTAACAGCCGATCTGCAAATAACATTAATTTTGAGTCTCAGAGAAAAAGCTGGGAGAAAGCCGAATGCATCTTGGATTTCATGGAAGAGGTGACTCGACCAGCCCCTCAGGAGGAGTGATTGTGATGCTGGGGAAAGGAAGCTGGGCCCCGCCTGGTGTTTTTTTCACGACTAGGCTGGGTTTAGTGTAGAAATCCCTACGGAAGAAGGGAGCAGCACTGCCTCCAGGAAGATCCTTCTGGAGGGATTGAGGTGTCAGGAAACAGCCGGCAGCTGTTTCAGTGAAAGGCACAGAAAGAGAACTCTGTGAAAAAAAAAAAGCAAGGCATGGGGAAAGGAAGGAGATAGAAAGGAAGCAAGGGAAGGAATCGATGAATCGTATCTTTGGCCTGGATTTACTAGTCTCTTGTCTAGCCTTCTGATTTGTGAAATCCACCAGATTTCCGTGGACTTGGAGTGGGTGGTGGTATTGAATGAGACAATCAACAGCCTAGTGTGGTCAGGTATTTTTGGCGGTGCGAAGAACTCTGTAAAGGGCTTTCGGCTACATGAGCCATTTAGTCTCTTGTCATTCTTAGCTTGGATGCCTCCTCCCGCCTTCTTCTTCCCCTTCTACCCCCCCCCCAATTTTTCTACTCCTGAAACCCTTTTCACTCCTGAAGACAAAGTCTATAGTGGTCCGGTCTGTAATTGATTTGTCTCCTTATCTGTTGGGTAAATGGGAATGGTGATTGATAGGGATTTGTGGCCCTTATTGGCAAGTTTCAAATAAAACTTAAAAGTTACAAGAAATTTTCCTTAAGACTGCCATTTACTTGGAGTTAGGAATAAAGTTCCGAAACTACACATTAGATTTGCATATGCAAAGGCAAGCCACACGCAGTCCTTTATCTGAGGGCTAAAACATTCCGCCAAGAGAAACAGAAGACAGCTTCTGTAATCAACTCCTCAAACGACACTTTTCAAACCTTGGGAGAAAGTGAGTAACGAAAACCCCTTGATTAAATATGTTTCTTTGATTGGAAACGAGAAAGAAGAAACCGAGCTAGATGTGTCGGTTTTCGGTCATGGGTACAGAGCTAACAGGTTTAAGACCAGAATCCCAAACTTGGGCGTCCGGCAAAGTTTGCTCAGTTGAGATAGTCTGTCTCCTCTCTTGGCCAGGCTCTAGTCTTGACCTACGATCCGTTTTGCATTTCATGAGCCCAGCCTAGGACAATGAGTATTGCCTTTTGCCTTTAAAACATGACCACTGGGAACCGTTGGAAGTGTGTATCTAGAGGGGAAGGCGTGTGTGTGTGTAAGCGTGTGCGCCATGGTGGGTGTATGTGTGTGTGCGTGCGCCCGAGAGTATCCGGGAGGGGGTGTGTATGCATGTGTGTGTAGGGGAGGGGATGTGTGTGTGCGCGCGGAGACGGGGAGGGGGCTTGCATAAAATGTCCCCCTCCCCTTTTCCTTGCCTCCCTCCTCCCCCCCATTGTAATGTTTGTCACTTCTGGCCGATCACTAGGGGGTTGAGAGGAGTATGACAGGTCTTTGTTGTCTGAATAAAAATCAGTGGCAGCTCAAGGGAGAGAACTCCTCCTACTAAATTATCAAAAATGGGCTGGCTTTAGTCTCTTAACAAATTGGACACAGCTCCAGAAAGCAGCAGTCCCAAATCCAACCTACAGGCACTGGGAACTTTAAAGCATCCAGGGACGGCTGAAAATAGCATTTCTTTTTCTTTCTTTGTGTTCAAAACTATTTTCTGTCTCCACCAGATTTTTTTCTCCCCCCGTTCCAGTTGTTTCCCATTAGTAATCCGATCTCTCCAGAGCAGTAAGATTCGCCTTCTTCTCCTTCTTTTCCCACCCCCCTGTTTGTTTGTTTTCCGCACATCTCCTTCAGAAGCTGTTGGTGTTTTTTTCCCCCCTTCAAGAAGTCGGTTTTGCAATTTGTCTCTTCTTGTTTTCTTTCGTCTTCCTCTCCCCCAGCCCCCTGCCCGCACTCAGTGACCGTCTACAGTGTAGACTTTTTTTGTTTTCTTTTGGATGATCTGAGACTCTGGGGTGTCTGTATATGGAAATAGTGGGGTGCCGAGCCGAAGAAAATACTTGTCCTTTCCGTCCCCCAGCCATGCTTTTCCACGGAATCTCCGGGGGCCATATCCAGGGGATCATGGAAGAAATGGAGAGGAGATCCAAGACTGAGTCGCGTCTGGCCAAAGGAGGGCAGATGAATGGCAGAGAAGCGGTAAGAGGCCCGGGGCAGTTTGTCCCAGCGCACTTCTTTCCCAATTCTACTTGTCCCACATCCTCCACATCTCCACCCTCTGAAGCCGAGGTGACGAGCCCGGAGTCTCTGGGGTGTGTGTGTGTGTGTGTGTGTGTGTGTGTGTGTGTGTGTGTGTGTGTGTGTTGGGGGTTCAGAGGGACTACTACTCTGCTGTAGGATGGTGGGTTTGCAGCCTGCGTTTTGCTTACTTAAAATGTGCGAGAAATAACGGGCCTCTCTGCAAGGAATTTGGGATGGAGAAATTGCCTTGGAGCGATGGCCGTTTTTTTAGAGCAAGTGGGGATAACCCTGGATGCAAGTGCTTACTCTCTATGGAAACCCTGGGCAAACTGGTCTAAACTTTCCGGTTGCTCCTGGGCAGATTCTTAAGGAGCCGACCAAGAGCTTCTCAACAGATTCCGGGCTGAGGCTGTTTCCAGCCCTTGACAATCAGTCGTCAGAGTCCTTTACAGAGGAAGGAATCTCTTTGGCTTTCCCTCGGGGGTTACACATGCCACTTGAAGAATGGGGGGAAGGAAGCTAAGTCCGTGGTCCCCTTGTCCTTTCGCTCTTCATCCTGAATGCCCTGTACAAGATGCATTTTAGGGTATTTTTCACCTCGAGCCACCTTGTTGGAGGCAGGGGAGAGATTCGGGAGAGATTAACTATAAGAGATTTGAGATCATTTTTGAAAGTAGCCTCAAGATTTTTAACAAAATCGAAAAGAGGGAGATCCATCTACTTTTATTTTAGACACTTTTCCATAGCTAAAACGCTTCCCACTTGCGATGGGGGAAAATGTCCAGGACACTCTCCGGAAATGATTTTAGGAGAGGGAGATAGATATATTTTCCTCGTATTTGCATATCTCCTACAAATCACTCATAGGGAATTATCAAGGTAACGGCCTGGAAAACCACTTAAGCGATTTTGTTTTGCTTTGTTTTGCTAAAAGGACTCATGTGCGTAATTTCACGTCTCGGCTCACTCTACGACATGGAAAACACGAAAACTCTCTTTTGCTTTTGCAATTCAGTAAAACGAGGGGCGGCGGTGGTAAAACAAAACGTTTCTCTCCTGTTGACGAAAATATCTAACAGATGGCTTTGCTATTTCTCCGTTTTTGTTTTTGTTTTTAAATACAAAACCCGAACTTCTGGTCGAGCTTGCGTCTGTTAATGATGGGATTCTGCCCAGTCCATACATGCCCTCCCCTTGCTCAGGTAGAGCTGAACACAGGAAGCGTGACTGATGCAAGACCACGAATTTCAGTGTAAAGATGTGTCTGCATGTATTCTCATGTGAACAAGAACATACAAATATGTGTATGTACACAGTGTGCCCGAAAAGTCTTAGTATAGCTTATAACTACACTAATTCATTTGAGACACCCGTAATATTATATATATGTATATATATATATATACACATACTCTATTAACTTATCAGATAGAAACAGCCTACTTTGCAAAGTTATGACACACTCAGGATCTGTCAAATTTTGAAGAAATTTATAGTCTGCTAAACTGGGAGCACAGGCATAGGAACAACATAAGATTTTTCTTCTGCTTTGGTTGGTCCTGTGCCTACTAGGATGTGATACCACTGAGAATTTAACCTAACAATAAAATCAAGTCTTTGTCTTAATTCATCCTCTTGTGTACCAGGGGTGCAGTTAACATTTCTCCCTAGTTTCTTTTTGCCCATTCCAAAAAGGACAATGACACAATTGAGGTTGCAATTACGCTAATTCTGCAGTCCCTCCAGACTGCTGTTAAGAAACTCCCAGTACTTTCCCTATTGAGGCCTTTTACTTGGTAGTCTGATGTCTGGGAGTGGGTTTCCATAGTTTCATATATTTTGTAGCTCGGGGTACAGACAAAAAGACAGATGGAGAGAATGGTGTTGAATGAAACAAACACTGAAGTTCCATGTTTACCAATTTAGGCACTGTTTTCTCTTTCATGCCCTGAATTCACAACACTCTTAAGGCAGGATTAGGTTCTGGAAAATTCCCTTTCTTTGCTTCAGTTCACCAGTTCGATCCATCTTGTCAAGACTCTAATCTTCCAGTTTAATGCATATCTTTCCTATTTCTTTCTTAACCTATCTCTCCCGTGGTTGTTGTTGGCTTGTTTGTTTTTTATCAGAGTATGCCCCCTATGAGCCCGGAAAAGCCTGCTTTGTGCGCTGGTTGTGGAGGGAAGATCTCAGACAGATATTACCTGCTGGCCGTTGACAAACAATGGCACCTGAGGTGTCTTAAGTGCTGTGAATGTAAACTGGCTTTGGAGTCAGAGCTCACCTGCTTTGCCAAGGATGGCAGCATTTACTGCAAGGAGGATTACTACAGGTATTCATTCAGACAAGTCTTTTTATCCAGGTCCACAGCCACTACTATCTGCACAAACAAAGCTAAGATTAAGGGATGAGGTCCTAAGCACAACTTGTATTTTGTGTATTTGTTGATGTAATCAGGAGCAAAGAGCTTGCCCCTAGGTGACACCGGGGTTGGCTCAATGGATATCATGCATTTCTGTCCTCATCATCATTGAAAACATATGCATCAAGATGTGTACATCTTAATCTCTTTGAGCAGTTGTTAGGTTTAGAGAATCCTTAGTACACTACCCAGGCACCTTGATTTCTTGGTATCTGTTCTAGGAAATTACGGGTCCTGGGAATAGCCAAGTGAAGTTAAAGAGCAGTATCTCTATACTAGGAAGACTTGAGGGTTTATTTTCTCCTCAATTCCCCTACTTTCCGTTTCCTACGAAGAAGGGAAGGCTTAAATTTATTAACTGGATTTGATATCTATGGTAATTCTTATTGCTATATTGTCAGGCTTGGGGAGGACCTTGTAAATCAAAATAGAAAGGGTTCTAAGGGGCACATTTTAAGCCTTCCAAGATCGAAATTTTTTATGGAAAGAGGTCACTGAATTTTTCACCTTGCTCTAGTAGTTGGAAAGAAATCGAAAGAGCTTTTTAAATTGACCTTTCCTGGTGTTCATTTTATTTATTTTGGGACTGGGCTGAATATAAATGTGTGTCCAGGGGATCATGCTCAAATCTCAGCTAGAGCAAGGTAAGCCAAAAAAGAGGGTCTTCATTAAAAATGTGTGTATCCACAGGCACACCTGTGTGTCTGCAAATATATGTTTACATACATATTTATACAAGAAATACACTTGTATAAAATGCACACGTCGAGTCAATTTAAAAAGAAAGGAAGATTTCAAAGCATTTGTCCTTTGTTTCAAACACATAAAATAAACTCCTTTATTTTACTTGCCCCTGGACTCCTAAGAAGCCGCCTTGGGCCCTTTGGGAAGGTGTCAGACAGCTGCAGAGCAGCCCCAGCTGCTTTCCCCTGTCTCTTTTATCGCCCTCCCCCGTCTCCCAAGGGAAACATGGTTCTGCCTGTTCTAAGTTCATGCTCCTGTTCTGATGTTTCTTTTCAGAAGGTTCTCCGTGCAGAGATGTGCCCGCTGCCACCTTGGGATCTCGGCTTCCGAGATGGTTATGAGAGCCAGGGAGTCTGTCTATCACCTGAGCTGTTTCACCTGCACTACCTGCAACAAGACTCTGACTACCGGCGATCACTTTGGCATGAAGGATAATCTGGTTTACTGTCGGGCCCATTTTGAGACCCTCTTACAAGGAGAATACCCCCCGCAGCTTAGCTACACCGAGTTAGCGGCTAAGAGCGGCGGGTTGGCACTGCCTTACTTCAACGGCACTGGCACTGTCCAGAAAGGGAGGCCCAGAAAAAGAAAGAGCCCGGCCCTCGGAGTGGACATCGTCAATTACAACTCAGGTGGGCCCAGGACATCAATAGTTAACCCCTTGCTCAATTGCACCCTGAGAAAAAAAACCCGGGTTTCCTTCCTCTCTGTGAACTCCACTGAGTTAGGGCTGATCTTGCTCAATTCAGCCTTTCCCATTCCCACCTTGTCTCCCCCCTCCAAAAACAAACAAACAAACAAAAGAACAAACAAAAAACCTTATCTAGGCACACCGACCAACTACAACTAGAGGGACTTGGAGACTTTGCAGGGAGACAAGTGCAACCCCCAGCTGCCCAGGTACCAATGGTAGCCTAGTTACTTTCAGGATCTTCTGGTGGTAGAGGAAAGACCAGGGGACAGTTTGTGGATTGCCAGTCACAAGTCCTAGTGGAGGGTTTTATAAACACTTCGGAAAAAAAAGCTTTGATTTTACCCTCAACTTTGAAAAAGCAGAGTTTGAGATCACTAGCTAGCCCCGAATTGATGACAAGTAGTTCTTGGCCGTAGTAAACCCAAACTTGCTGTAAGAATCAGCCTTTGGTTGAGTATACACGTCGGAGAAAGACAAGTTTGTTATATGTGCTAAATGACCAGTCTGAACACACTATGAGTGACTGACAAACTAATGTTGCCTAGGCCTTGCTGGATCAAGTTGGAAAGAATCCCTGGTTAAGCTATTGGGCAGGATTTCCAGGGGTTCAGAGTTGAGATTTGCTCTTCTTTCCAGAAGTGAGGCGAAAGCCTCTCTAGTTAGAGAGGGGGAAATTCTATTATTCTCTGGGGGCCATTATTTTCCTCTTTTTCTTAACTTGTCTGCTTATCTGTCTGGGTCTCTCTTATATTTGAGAGTGGCAGAGAAGGTTGGTTGCTTCCAAACCCCCTCCCCCACTCCCATCTAAACCTATTAGCTAATTCCTATTAGCAGGGTGGCTTGAGGTGAAAGCAGAGCAGGTCTGAGCTTTCCTACTTTAAGTCACAAAAAGCACTGTTGAGGAAAGTCTCAAAAAGCCCAAGTCCTGTATTAAGGCTACTAAGGGATCCCTTGGCTCTTCTTAACCTTTATATCCCTCCGACTCCCGCCCCTTTCCGGCTCTCTATCCTAAAGAATAAGAGTAAGAAGGCCCCTACCCCACGTTCCTCAAATTCAGTGAAAAGGTCGGTGCACTTTTTAGTAGCAGTCCTTAATTCTTGAAACTTATCTCTCCGGTGGGGACTGCAGGACCCCTAAGAAGTCTGGGGTGGGGGAGACAATATGACACGTCACCCTGTTGGGCACATTCCACTCCCCAGGGCCCAGAAAGTCCAGAGATGGTGAGAGTTTCTCCAGGATTTATCTAGTCCATCGTGGTTTCAACCTGGGGCAGTTTTGAATAGGACTGGGGGTGTGGGGGCGGGGAGGGGAGAGAAAAGGAAAAGACCAAATCCTCCAGCCTGCTCCTAGACCTGCTTAATCCTTCTCCGCCGAGGGCAGCAGGATGCCGTTCCTCGTTTTGCCAACCCCCAGCCGAGCGGTCGCCCTCCCGTGCCCCTGCCCCTGTAGCGGCTCGTTAAGGGGCTTTTGGTCTAGGGCCGCATTACCCAGTGCGGTTATTTCATCTCCTCTGATGCGTGGCCTTCGGAGCCGGGGCAATCAGGGCACTAATTGTTCTTTATTAATGGAAGATGACATCGGAATCCCTGGCCACTCACCGGGGCCCTAATTGGTCTCTAGGAAAAGAGAAAAGGGGAAAAAAAGGAGAAAAAAAAAGACAGAAGAGTCCTTTTCTGGCAAAGGATTCCCTGCAGTCCATAGAAAGCCCGGGCAGTGGGGGATTCCCGGCCAAATTACAAATAGAGTTTTGCATTTGTTTATTTAACCCAATTAATTCTGTTTGATTTACTCGTTGGTTCAGATTTTGTATTCTCAAATCACTACTCTTTGGGGACAGTAGGGTGTGGTCAGCGTGAGTGCTCAGAAAAACTGGAGAAGTCAATGCAAAGTTTATTTAAAAACCAACCAACCAACCAAAAAACTCACAAGGGTCATCCAGGTATTTGGTTTTCAATTTAGGGAAGACTCTCCTAAAAAATCGAGTGTCGGGAGTCGATGGTGCAGCCATCTGCACGGACAGCCCCCCTCCCCAAAAAAAGTTTATTTAGTTCTAAAGTAGTGTGTGTTAAGAAATCTCCGCTCTCTAGGGTTCCTAATGATAAAGATTCTGGAAAAAGACCCCGAAGCACCTTGGGGCCCCTGCTGATGAACATTTCCTTTTCTAAAAAGAGGGTTAAACAAAAGGTCAAGAAATGTTCAGTGATGTCAAAAATTCAGAAACTGGTTTAAGTGGTACTTTAAATAAGTATCAGGAGCCACAAAACCATTTTAAAAAGAGTGTTTACGAATCTAATGCCAGTGTCTGGCACTAAAACGAGGAAAAGAAACCCTAGAGAATTAAAAACATGTTAAGCATTTCCTTAAGCAGGAAATAAAATGGTCTAACAGTTTTACCTCATTAAATTTCTAGTCTTCATTAGATTTTGTACTGCTTGGCATCTCTTCTAATATGTAGAATATTTATATATACGGTGGCACATTAATCGAAGAAAACAAATATAATTTACACATAGATATATTGTACACATGTGTATAAGAATATATGTACAGATCAAAATACACATATAATAGTTTACTAATTAGACGTATATACGAGTACATGTGAAGTTCATAGCGCATTTGTATGTATACATACATGTATTACTATATGTGTATGTGTGTATTTGTATATAATACATAATACACATATACCAAATGTATATTAGAAGAAACACATATGCATGCTTCAAAATTTGGAGAACATTTATATAAGTCATTTAATATTTGAAATATGCTAAGTGCATTCCAAAGCACATTCATATTTAAATTTTACCTACTTCCACAATTAGGAATGAACCAAGCAGGCGCTTTGGGGAAGGAAATTTAGGATTTATTTGGGATTCTGAGGACCAGCTTTCAAAAATGAGGAAAGCAGTAGTGAGATGCATAGTCTGGAAAAAGATTATTTAGTTTTAGAAGAAGACAGAAATTATTTTAGCAATCTATCATTAAGCTACCTAACAGTATTCTCCCCAAGTCCTTTACATTTTTTTCTTAACCTTTCCAACTTCTCTACTTACTTCGACTATTAAAAGAATGTGGCAGTGACCCCTAGTGGTTTCTTTAGAGGGATTTAACTTGACCATTTTAAAACAACAACAAACTTAGGACATATCACAATGTCCTAAGTGGAACAATAAGTGTTTACATTTTCTTACTACTTTATGTTGTTTTTCAGTTTTATGCTCCATAATTCAAAAGGAAAAAAAAGGTATAACTTATGAACTAATATGGTGATGAACTGAGGAAGACAATTAACTCAATGTTCACCTAATATATTTGCTATAAACAGAGGCAGCATGATGGGGTTAACAGAGGACTAGCCCTAAAACCAAGAAGACTTTCTGTTCAAACACTATCTCTGGCATAGACTAGCTGTGCCACCCTTGGCAAGTTACTTAGCCTCTTAATGTTACAGGCAACTCTGTAAGATTATAAATTAGACTAGTTGCAGACCTTCATTGTTGGAGGGAATTTTGACACCAGGAGTTTCTTCCTTGGATGAAATCAAGGTTTCAACCCCACCCTCTACAGCAAAAATTGTAGCAAAGCTTAACTAAATTAAGAGAATGTATATTAGTAGAAAGTGCTTCCTATATTAAATTGCATAATAAAAATAATAACATTTTGATAGGAATACAATCTCAGTGATTCAAATAAAATAAAATATTTCAACAACCACTTGATTCGCTAGTTAGTATTTCTGTATAAGAGCTGCTACATAGTTTGTTTAATGCACTAAAATATATTGCTTACCACCCATCAGAGAAAAATGATTACAAAAGTACAGCAATGAAGAAACATTTTAAACAATCAAAATTTTTTTCCTGTGGAGATGTGATTTAAAGCAGTGTCCTCATCTAAGAGTAGCTCTACCAACATATTTCCTAAGAAATAAAAAAGTGAACATGCCATAGAAAGTTGAGTATGTATTTAAAAATTAATTAAAATTTCTATTCCAAGTATGTTTATTATCCAACATGTCCAAGAAAAGTTACCTTTTGCTTTATTACCCCACTCTTCCAGGCATATAAATTTTCTTCAGAGAGAACTCTGAAACATGAGTTATACTCCTCTGGTCACTTGGATATTGATGGGTAGTTTTGTACTCAGATCCTGAAGCATGAATTGTTTTCACAGGGCGACAGTTGATCTCTAGTTGCCAATTTGGATGATGTGGAAATGTAATACTATATAAATTTGCACTAAAATATCCTTGGCTACATCTGAATAAAGTAAACTCTAAAGTTAGAAGAGAATTGTCCATTATCTCAAGGAAAAATTATCTGATTTCTGACAAGATTTAAGGCATCTGGACACAATGGTTAAATATCTACATGTAATTGATTCTATATCAAGTTTTTTTGGCTTAAAAAAAAGAAAGCTCCCTTGACCTCAGTTGGTTGGTCAAAAAACACTTATATTTATGTGCCAGGCAACCAAGGTGTCTAAGTTCTGGAGAATGAAGAAAGGGAAAAGATAGTCCCTGCTCTCAAGGAGCACACAATCTAATGGGGAAGACATCTTGCAAACAAATCTGTACAAATAGAAATACAGGATAAATTGAAATAATTAACAGAGGGAAGGCATTAGAATTAAGGGGGATCAGGAAAGGTTTCCTATAGAAAGTGAGGTTTTAGGTGGACCTGACTTGTCTAGTAGCCTGTCCTACTTGCATATCTTAAAGAAAATATTAAGACAGGAAACATTTGGTAAATAGGACTATTTAGGAGCAGTTGCTTACCAGTTGGTTTTTTAGTGTATTTGATCTTTTTCATTTCTTTGGATTAACAAATTACCAAATATAGCCTTCCTAGTTTTTTTTGGGGGGGGAATGGGGGAGTCTTTTCACCAAGACTAATAAGTCTGACCATAAAGTAACATGTAGACAACATTTAAATGAATACAAAATGAAAAGTTAATATTAATTGATGGCACTTTGTATTACACTTCCTTCAAAATTGTGTTCTTTTCTCATTCCTATACTGAATTTGGTTTTAGAACTCACTGATTCACTTTTTTAAAAAGTGAAATCTTAATAGAGCTGAACAAAGAACATAGGCCTTTTGCATTTGAGGATGGGGTACAGATATTTTAAAAATTGTCTTTTGTTGTTGTTCTGAAGTTAGCTGTGGCATTAGATGTAGTGATATATTCATTTTACTAGTCATAGTCTCCATATGAGTGGCCAGTGTTGGGTTGTTAAAGTCCATTCAGCTTTACGTCTGAGAGATAATGAATTTTAGGCTGGTTTCAAGTATCCTTTTTCTTCTTCTTCTTTTAAGCATTGTAGTACTAAAGAGTTTTGTGTAGAACTTCCACTGGTGAAAAGGAAACACTCAGCTCTCTCCAAGGCCAGCTAAAGGCACATTTCTTAGGTCTATCCATATTTACCACATAAATGAAGTAGATCTGAATATGTTACCTGGCCCCTCTGAAATGCAAGCTAGAGGGATGCTTCAGGCCTAAACTTTAATAAAGATAAGTAAAGATAGGATTATATTCCCTCAGAAATGTTTATTAAAATAACTCCAATGGTGAGAGAACACCTTTTATGTATAGTAAAATTACAATTTAGCCATTTATACCTAGCAGTTCACAATGACTCAAAAATAGTCTAATTATAATTATATAAGAAACTTCCAAATTTCTATTTACACTTTTCAAATCTGCTATGGAAGAGGTGAAAGAAACTCTCTTCTCTGTTATTTGCTAATTTTCTCTGGATTGAGAAGGATCAAGGAAGTGCTCTAAAATTAAAAAAAAACTGAACAGGCTTTAACTTGTCCTTCAATTTGTCATATATTTTCTCATTGGTTCATAGATCTAAAGATGGAAGTGGCTTCAGAGGCCATATAATTTAAAAAAATTAAATAGTATTTAATTTTCCCCAATCACTTATAAAGACAATTTTTACCATTTTTTAAAATTTTGAGTTCCAAATCTCCCCCTTCCAACTCCCTCACCTCTCCTCTCCCTAAGAAGGTAAGAAATTTGATATAAGTTATCTATGTGCAATCAGACCATACAGTTTTAATCCCTTATTTTACAAATGAGGAAAGTGAGGCCTAGAAAGGTTAAGTGACTTGATTGAGGTCATACAGTACTATTCATCAGAGTCAGAATCTGAACCTAGGACCACAATAAAATAGTCACTTCCTTACCTAATACAGGAAAAGTATCTCATAATTTACTAAATGTAGTTGTCAGTTTCTACATTCAGTCCACATTCTGATTCCTTGAAACTTGGGTCTTTACTTTAAGGAAAGAAAAAAAAAGGTAAAAAACCAAACACCTTTACCCATAACAATAAAGTGCTTCTCTTTCAGTCTCACTTCACTTATCACTTTTCATTCATCTTTCAAGCATTAATTTTGAAGTAAACAAACAAAAGTATCCCCTATATTTTTCTTAATTCAGAGTTCTTTACATTTAGCGGTTGTTTTCCTCATTGTCATTTCACCAGGTTGTAATGAAAATGAGGCGGATCATTTGGACAGAGACCAGCAGCCTTATCCCCCGTCCCAGAAGACCAAGCGCATGCGTACCTCCTTCAAGCACCACCAGCTCCGGACCATGAAATCCTACTTTGCTATAAACCACAACCCGGACGCCAAGGACCTCAAGCAGCTTGCCCAGAAAACGGGCCTGACCAAAAGAGTTCTGCAGGTAAGAAGTCACCACCACTGGCTGGGTCAAAATTTCCCTTCCCCTTGCCAGCGAAAGTAGTTAATTTCCCTTCTTAGAGTGATATAGATATTGTCTGTACTGTTTCTCATTAGTTTGACTTAGCTATATCCCAAATGGGTGTGCTGAGGATTTGAGGGGGAACATGGCAGGGTACCCAAAGAGAGGCCCAGGAAACTTAAAAAAAAAATGAACTCAAATTCTTCCTTCTTTTATGGAGATGGGTCCCATAGAGAATACAGGGCTTACCATATTGCTTTGCATGTAGGAAGTATGTAATTTACACAGCAATGACACAGCGTCTATTAGAAAGCAAAGACTGAGGTATTTTATGAGGCTTAGTCTATTGGCTTCTGGAGAATTGTCATTGCAGTCCTCGGTTCAGCAAAATCTTGGCAATCCTAGTCACATGGCAGGGAATTTGAATTGATACAGTCTTCAAAGTTCAGGTGGTCCCCCTTTTACACTTTCCAAAGGCCTAGGATATGATTTTTTTCCCCGTCTGCAACAAATTTGTCAGTTTCTAAAGAATAAATTTTGCTAACAAATAACAATGAAAAGAAAAAATCCCAAATAATTAGCTTTGCCCGATACCCCCTTCCCTTAATATGGTTCTTCACGTGGGAAGATGAGACTATAGTCCCACTGTGAGGTCTTTTTCCAGCAGGGGGTGATGGGAGGTGCTGAGACAGAAACTTTTTTCTTGCCCAGGCTGCCTCATGACCAACAGCATGCATTTGCAGTCTGGCTGACCAGGTTCATCTGTGGCCATGGGACAGAAAGATTTTTCACTCTGTGAAAGGTCTAAGGGGAGGTGATCTCGTCAATCAGAAAGTCTGTTAGTACTAACTGCTTTCCATGTTGCTATTCACCTTTAGATATTTTTAATGACCATGACTCTTCCCCTACCTTCAAAAGACTCAGAGCAGGCCCTTTTAATGACCAGTAGCTAAGGGCATAGTTTACTTCCACCCTTATATCCCTATGCTTAATTTGAATTATTTCTTAACTTCAGCTCCAGTTGTCCTAAGAGGCACTTGTCATGCTGGGGGGTTATGTGCAGCCTAGCACAGAGAGCATATGAAGTTTATGCGAAAAAATAAATAAGTGAAAAAGAGAAAAAAAAGCTTCTTTAAAAAAAGGACAAAACAAAACAAAACATTTTAAAAGGAGAAACATACATCAAAAAATAAAATAAAATAAAAACAATCAGCAAAAACAAACATCGGTAAAGAAATCAATTGGGATTGGTTTGCAGGTTTGGTTCCAAAACGCACGAGCCAAATTCAGAAGGAATCTTTTGCGGCAGGAGAATGGGGGTGTTGATAAAGCTGATGGCACGTCGCTCCCGGCACCGCCCTCAGCAGACAGCGGCGCTCTCTCTCCACCCGGCACTGCGACCACTTTAACAGACCTGACCAATCCCACTATCACTGTAGTGACATCCGTGACCTCTAACTTGGACAGCCACGAATCCGGAAGCCCCTCACAAACTACCTTAACGAACCTTTTCTAACATTGGATTTTTTTTTAATTCTTCCTCTTCTTTTTTATTATTATTATTCTAATTATTATTTTTTATTATTTACAAGACTTTTTTTTTTACCCACAAGATATTTGGGGGAAAAAAAACAACAGCTTGGTGTGTAGCATCTGCAGCCACTTGGCCAATGAGTTTACAGTCATGTCTCTCGTTTAAAGTGAACATACTTTGTCTACAAACTGTATTTGGATTTAAAAAAATCATTAGGTCTTTCAGTAGGTAAGGGAAGTTTTTGACTCATTCTAATAAGTGCCTCTTAAAATTGTATGTTACTTATTTCCAGAATCTCGGGAAAAATGAGCTTTATTGTCATGGGCAAAGAATTCCATTCCCAGTCTAACAACCAAGCTAAAAAAGAATCAGATAATTATCACCAAATGAAGTTTTCTGTCTGGCAGTGACATATGCTTCTGGAAATTTGCAGCCTTCACATTAATTTTTATTTTTTTGCAACTTAAGGAAAAAATTAGATGATTCTGATTTCCTCTCGTACACCAAAAAGTTCAAATGGAAAAAAAATATGATTAGACAAAAGCACTATGAAATAATGATTTAGAAATGTGTAAATGTCCAATGATTAAAGTCACATCTAGCTTTAACATTCTAAGATGATTTGTGATTAATTGGGGGAAACTACTCTAGGAAGTTGGATTTTCCTTCCATGGGCATATAATTCAACAACAACAAAAAGACTCATTATTTCATTTTAATATTCTAGATATTATTCCACTTCCCCCTGCCATTAAAACTCCACTTAGAATTTTAAAGTTTTATACTTTTAGTCTCCAAAGACTGAAAAGTATATAGTATTAAGGTAATTCTCTATAAATTACTTTCCTTTTTTCAGGGAAAATGGAAATAAGCAAAATATAATTCATTAAGATGTTTAGAAAAGTGGTTTAGTTAATTTGATTCATTGCTATTCTGATTTACTTCAGATTTTCCATACAATTGCTCCTGGCATCACACATACAAAAAAAAACCTTTTAAAACTTCAGCACATTAATATCATTTCTATCAACATTAAGGGGTTTTTTTGGTTTTGTTTTGTTTTATTTTACTTTTGTATAAGAAGATATGTTTTTGAAAAAAAGGTTTTCTGAAAATTGGCATTTGTAGTAAACTGTTCTGAAGCAGATAAACTCAGAAGCCTCGTGGATGCTGATCTGAAATAATTTCCTAGTTTACAATAGCATTTTTTTTCTTTTTAATTTAAACTAAAAATCTTAATGGTCTGGGCAGTGGTGAATGTTCATCTGTATGCTTCTGTTGTAGTTAAATACCAATTAGATTGTGAATTTTCTCAGAAAAAGTCAAGATACATGTCTTGCTTTAGTGGATTGTTAAGAATAACTTTGCACATATTCTCCACTTTTTCGGCCCCATAAATCTCTTTTGGTGGTCAGGGTGGCTATTTAATATATTTAAAGGTGTCCTTTTGGCTGTATAAATGTGTGGTTACATATTGACAGTTCACTGCCCACATTAAAGTGCATTATTGTAACTTTTGCTCAGGGTTTTTAGAAAATTAGCACAGAAAGTAGCTTATTTTTTAAAAAAAATAAAAGATGATGGAAGAGATGTTAACACTGTAACAGAAGAAAGGTGTGATTGCCATTATATATTTAGCAAGTATGGTTATCATCTTATATGGAGCTTAAATCTTGACTTTTCCTATTTCTATTACATTATGGGCATTTACCACTAACCAGACCAAACAACCTTGGTAAGGCTGAGATCTTATTAATACACTTTTACAGGTAAAAATATTGATACATATAAATTTTGTTCTTTGACAGAACAATATATGGTACTATAGATCTACTTTATTAAGTAGACTAATCATAACTCAGTTCTAATATGTGCCTTATGATATAACTTGGAAGTAAGTTTGTGAAAAATCAGGATATATGTGTTGTTTGTTAAATTAACTGTTTTAAGCCCTTTTGACACCTCACTAGTTTTGTACTGTTTTACCTCTTATTTCTGAAACTCTTTTTATGGTGTATCCTGTTAGAGGGGACAAACATGTCATAGAAAGCAGTTGTGCACTCTTTCAAATATAGTTGATAAATTCAATAATCTTATATATTGAGCTTCGTGTTTATAGTACAGTAAGTGGTCTAGCAAAATTGTCCATGTTTCTTTGTTTATTGAAAAATACATTGTATAGAAACTATTTCCCCTAAATATTTATGGACCAAACAATTGTGATATATCCTATTAAATTTGTGTGAATAAACCATTTTGAATCTAAGGAGTTTTATTTCCCATCAATTTTATTTAAGGTCTCCCTGAATTGGTGTGTTTCCCTGCTTTCCAATATTTATGACTGAATCATGTTAAAAGGGTAATACAAATTTTGTAAATACTTAGCAAGACAATTAGTCTCTAGCTTTTCAATCCCTGGTTCTTATTCACTGTGTGTGCCATTGAGGATACAATGTAATTCCAGATTCCTTTTAAAGTAATTTTTGGATAATAAAAAAATGCCCCACTGATTTGATACAACAGTCCCAGTTTCAGATTCTAAAAATGAAGACAAGTAGCAGCTAAACTAATTGCATGAAAAACCACCTAAATATGATAAAGATTCAATGCTAGGTATATTTAACACAAATGAATAATGGTAAACCCCAATAGAAATTGCAGACTCCTACAAGCCAGGTTGCTCTGTAGTTTAATAAATTGTCACTATGATTTCTTTCAGGGAGAACAAATCTTGGGGCATTACAGCCAAACATCCCGACGTTTGAAAATTCCCTAAAGTATTAAAAGAAGGGGAAAAGTTTGATCGGAAATCCACTGCAGTGAAGACAAAGACAATATTAGGTTATGATAATCATACATTAAAAAATATATTGAGCCAAAAAAAAAAGAGAGAGAGAGACTTAAATGTCAATTCCTGAATGTTAAAATTTATGTTCTTTATGACATCTAATACAAATGAAGGCTTACAAAATTGTGTGGTTTAAAACAAAAGTTAGATAAGCTATGTATAAACCAGAGCAACCTGGCAGTAATATACCCTACCCATGTTGGAAGACAATTATTCCTTTAAAAAATTAAAAATATAGCAACAACACATTTGCCAAGCACAAATACTTGTAAAATAAAATCCAAATACATGCATTCCACCTGCTTGCTAACGTGTACTACTCATATATGTTAAATGGCATTTTTGTAAATTTAAAGAAAAACTATCACTCATTTAAGAGCATAAGGATCAGAACTAAGTAATTTTAGTATTATTGTTAATTATTTCTTTTTCTAAAAGCCGAAAAATCTGCATGCACTTTTACATCTGTCACTTATAGTGTACATTTCTGTATGATGACTTCTCTTTGATGTTTCTTGTACAATAAATAGCTTTCATGAATAAACATTTTATTTGATGCAAACATAGTTAACTTTATGTAAACACACCTAATCTAGCTGTTGAAACTAACTTAGAATATTTTGGACACTGTCTTAAAAGGCAGGATGGTAAACTTCAAATTTGTTATACCCAGAGGGGGAAAAAAATCCAAATAATGAAAACAACAAGGTGGCATTATTGTAGCTTAGTGTAAAACGATTTCCTTGGACTTTAATGTTTCATGACTTACTTTCATTTGTTGTATGCAATTGAAACATGTACCTAAAATAAAAATAAAGACAGAGGAAACCCAAACAACAATAAGAGAAATAAATCTCTGAAAAAGAATAGCATGTGTAAAAGCATCAGCAACTTTTTAAAAAAAAGAATATTAGGACAAAATCTATGGATTCTTGATAAGTTTACATGTTCACTATGCAATGAACAAATTTATTGACATAAAATATATTAATTATGAAAGGATCTGATCTTTGCACAGTCCAATTTACATATGATTTTACAAGCAAAAATGAATGGAAAAATAAACCATTATTTAGTAATGAGGGTTTTTTTAATTGTTAGAAGGAGTATTTGCAGAAAGAATTTTTTAAAAAACTATTCATATTTAGCTGTATATCCAAAGTATATGTTAAACAAATTAACATATAAAATACTTTCCGGAAATTTTTTTCATTAAGATGAAATTTTTATTATATACAAATGAACCCTATGTAAATGATGTAACTTTTATGAATAATTATGACAGACATTAAATATTTCACCTGTATTCTCAGTATTTGAATGTTTTCTTAAATGCTTTTCATCTTATGGATACCAAAAAAGAAAAAAAGAAAAGAAAAAGAAAGGACAAAAGAAAGAGAGAAGCTCTTAAGAAGAAGGCAACATAACATAGACTATTCTGAGAGATCTTGAAACATGCTGGTTTTGTCAGTAACTAGAATGTTTATGCTTCAGTGAAACCTTATCCACAATTATAGCTGTTTAAATAGATTTTAGAAATACACTTCATGCCAGTTAATTCAAATTCTTGTTCTACAGAGATACCCTTCTCCTGCGTCACTCACCTGTGACAGTTTGATTTAGAAATATCTTGGCACCTCTCATGGTTCTATCGATGTTTAAATATTTGTCTGGTAAATTAAATGAGGGAAAGAACCAAAGGAGAAAGGGCTTATTGGGAAATTTTCTGAAAAAACATCTGGAAAAACAACTCAATGTAACATTAATTTTAAACAGAACATTTTGCAAAAAGCAAGGAGAACTAATTAAGCAGGTTGGATGTGTAGAAATCATATGATTCAAAATTGGAAGGACTATTGTGGTTTTCAGTATTAGAGAGCAGTTCTTAGAGTCTGGGCAACTGCCTACTTCTTGAATTGGAGTGAGAATGGAATGATGTGAACTTCTCAGGTGGGAGCAGCACAGGAAGTTTTCGTAGCTTCTGCATCTAGACTGCGAACTGGGAAAAGAGCTGAGGACAGCCTTATCTTTTAGCAAGTTAATCTTAGGTAGGGGGAAAAAAAGCTTCACTGAGATTCCTGAATATTACTGGAGATAATAGTGGTTGAGTTGGACCTTTTGATATTAAATAACATTTTAAATCACTAAAATAATGGATGGCTTTTTGAAAGGGCTGATAAGAGCTTCAAAATATTTCTGAAAATTTGATAATTGATAGCCTAAAAGGGAAAGTTTTACTGTGTCCAAATTCCAATGGAAGTCACTTGAAGTGTTCTGGCAATATCATGTATTTAAATAATCTTTCTTTCAAAGAGCTCAAGGCATTTAATAAATCCCTTATAAACATCTCATTTTCCCTTCAAGATGTCCCTGTGTGGGGTATAAACATGGATATCCATTATGAATTGCCTGATTCATCAGTAGTGAGCAGGAATTGGATATTTGGAGTGATGTTATTTTAAGTTCTTGTATTAGGCGTAATTACACCATTATTATGGAAATGCATTTATTAAGCAATTACTGGTATGGTTGTTTCGCAAGGCACTATAGCTTACATTTAAAATAATAATATTTTGACAATGAAATAAAACTGTTGGACTTCCTTGTAGAGAGCTTCTTTATTCAATGGAATATTCAACACTATTTAAATTTTGCAGACAGAAATCTCTAAGCACCAGAAATAAGTAGAGGAAATTAAAATTTACCCCAAGTAGAAGAAACTGCAGCATACTTTCTGTGAAACTAGAAGTATATGACAATATTTTATTCACACATTTTTTGTCTCTCCATTCCATTGTCTTAATTGTTAGGAACAAATTCCAACTTTTCAAATAAATAAAACATTGTGCTTTATCTTTTAAATTTTATCTTTAAACTTTGTGCATCTATCTTTGTTTTATTGCCAGTGTCGCACATAAGGCATTATTTTCTTTGCTTGTGTCCCTGCTTTTCAAGCATTTCATTGAACTCTCCTATGGACCCTTCTTTTAGGAGAATGGCATTAATTTCTCTTATTTTTCCAGTTGTTGCTTCATTTTTTTCAAATTTATCATTTTAAGGCAATGTATTATTTTTATTGCCCTCTTGAAAGATTTGCTTTGATTTCCTATATTGTCATAACAAAAGGATCAGAATTGTGCATGGTACTCTAGGAAAAGTCTGTGAATATGGTGTAAGTAATGATAACTCACATTTATTTAGTGTTATGTTCTCTGCAAATGACTTTCTTTTTCAACTGTGCTGCAAAGTGAATCTTCATTTTTATTTATGATTGCTCCTCAATTCTCCCATTTCTTTGGGAGTTCTTTAGATAGTCAATCTTACATCTTCCCTACATTTTTCTGAATCCAACTTCTTAATTTATATTTCTTTATACTTGACGATCTCATACTAGTATGGATGGCAATCTAGAGATGAAAGGTTTGGATATCTGTTCTAAGAAGTTCCTGCTGTACATCTACGTGTGCTTTCTCCTCACATTTTAGGATTGTCAGGAATGATTTCCTTCCCCTCCCCTGGATTTTATGTTACATCTTGCATGATCTTAAAAGTTATCTTAAAAACGATAAATGGATACCTTTTTTGGCTATTTGAAAATAAAATTTGTGTAAATAAAAGAAGATTTTCTAGTCTCCATTTCCTCATATTTATGTATGAACTTAGTTAAAATACATTTTGTTTTATACTATCCTTCTGAAACAGAAAATATTAACCAGAAAGTGATATTTAAATTGGTGATTGTGACAAACTGGAAAAGATGAAGAAATTCTAGGGCGATCTTATTGCCTGAACCATTCTAATGCTGGTTTCCTGTTCTTTTCCTTCTCTCATGTCAGCAGAGAGCTATGAAAGGGTTATTAGCCTCCACTTTGATATTCACAGATCTTGTCAGGGGGTGTTATTTGAATTTTTGCCTTGCCAAATATAAATTTGGTTAACTTAGATTTTTGGAAATAAAATATTCTTTATGAAATGTGAAAAAAGCTGAGATGTATTCACAGTTTTGAGATAGTTAAGTTGTTTGAACTTTATAAACAAATTCACATCACTTCTTAAAAAAAGAGTAAGTTAACGAAAGAAATCATATTCAGAATATTAACTTGGCTAACAAAGATGCTGTGAAGAAATACAAATATCTTACAGGTGGGGCCTGATTCTGACCAGTCTTTTGGTAGTTTAGGTCTGATATCTGAACTAAATGTGACACTCATAGACCAATGAACAATTGACAAAAAAAAGATTCACTTTGTCATGGCAGAAGAAAGCTATGCAACGAGGATATGCAGCAAGGTCACTGCTTACAACTGCTTTGCCTTTGAGTTGCCCAGGGTGATCTGCCAGCCAACCATCAGAGAAGGGCTGGAACTCTTCAAAGATTTTCATACTCAAGTGACCAGGAAGTAATGTTAACAGTTAGAACCTTTAGTTCTCTGAGCCCTCTTGAGGAGGATTCAATACCTTTAAGGGAAAAAAAAACTAGCCCGGTTTAAATGGTGTGATATTCTGGTAGAAGTTCCTCCTACCACATACCTCAAAAGGAATCCTTTTGTCATTTTTTTTTAAAACAAAGAAATGATAGGGGCTTTTTGGTAATACATTTGAGGTGATCTACTTTAAAAAGCCGATTAGATACTTCTTTTAATTTGTTGTTAGTATGCAGATTATGTGTTTCTTGCCAGAACAGGAAGTAGAAAATTTTAATGAAGTAGAAAAATTGATCTTTCAAAAGGTTCTCAACTCATTCAATTTCATTTTCTTGAGCTCAGCAAGTCAGGAAGCTAGGTGGAATGTTTTTGTGTTAACCAAAAGCTTTTTCTGCTTCCAATGTAGGGCAGTCCAAAAATAAAATATGTCATTCATGACTGTAGGTTCATTTTTTTAAAAAACCACATCTCAATTTGAAGTAGAAAATGGCAAAAGCACTTTGAGTTTTTTTCTCTGATAAAGTCTCTATCTTTCTGTTAGACTATCAGAAGGACTGTGCTTCATATGCCTCAACTTTCCCCACCCCACCCCTTATATTTTTAGTTTATAAGCTTCTTATGGGAAATCAACATATTAGTCTTCTTAGGTTATGCAAGCATGCAATGAACACTTAATTAATACAGTGGTACTGGAAGATGGTGATGACTTTGATTGCTCCTGTAAATATTGTCCTGTTTCTGTCAGGGCTAATGTTAAACAACAGGCTGGCCAACCTTCAATATTTAGAATAAACCAAAATGTAAGAGAATTTCCCTATGGATGACTAGAGTCCCAGAATTATAGAGTTAGAATGTACCTGCCCCTCATTTTACAAGGGATGAAACTAAGGCCCAGAGAAATTAAGATGATCAACTATTTATTTGTGGCAGAACTTGCTTCAGTAATTAAATTTCACTTGATTTACAAAGATATGCTTAGGAAATGGAAGGTGCATTCACATCTCAAGTGAATACTTTAGTTTAATTTGAACGTTAGCCAATCCCTCAGGCTGGTTGGACATTAGCCCATTTAAGAATATTATCTTATAAACTTATATCTACGCATGATGTGGAAAGTAAAAAAAAAAGTATAAATTGATGGGACCAGGATGTAAAACCAACCACATTGTACATTTCAGCAAATGTACAGTTTTAGTAAGGTTGTTCACTCTACATAAAGTTAAGAATTTAGCATCAGCCTGAACTTCTCTGATTCTCACTAGTCCAGAGTAGCATACTTGAAAAGGCCACCAATAAAATGAATCACTGTCAGGTTTTAGGAGCTAGTTATTGATATGATCTCAGAATCATGGCATGAGAAGAGACGTCAGTAGATAAACAGAACCAATTCAGGAAAGTGAAGTATTAAACTACTTAGTAGAGATGGTTGTCCATTCATTTTCTTATTAAATGACTTATCCAAATATTCTTAGACTTATCCAAAGAAAATCACCAAAAGGACTATCAGTTTAGTCTTCCGTAAAGTTCCTATTTTCTTACCCTTGAAAGCCAGGGACTAGACTTGTGATGACATTGGGATAGGGAATTTCCAGGTGAGGAAATTCACTACCTATTCAGGCCAGCAACTTTTCTGCAATTTGTAGTCTTAGAGATTTGGCTAGAGTCAACTAATGTGATTTGTTTAGCATCGCATAGCCAATATGCATCAGAAGCAAGACTAGAATAGAGGTCTTCCTGACTCAGGGGACAGCTCTCCATCCACTATTTCAAGCTGCCTCACCTTTGCAAGAAAGTGAAACTAAATGGATTTTTAGTTTGGTGGGATAGTCATTAATGACATCTTATTATTATGTACTGTTTCTGTGTTATCACAATGATTTTTCACTTTGGAAATGTTCTAATATCCATCCATCTATTCAATAACTTTGCACCTCTATGACTGCACAAGCTCTTTCTCATACCTGGAATGCACCTGCTCCTCACTTCTAACTCTTAGAATCCATAACTTCCTTTAAAGAGTGTCTTCTAAATGCAACACCACTGTATAAAATATAAGTGGATGATAAATTTTTTTCTTTCCAAAAATTTCTTAAATCACAGGATCTCAATGATGCAAGGCATCTCAGAATTTATTTGGACCAACTCATACCTGAACAAGAATTCCTCTAATAACAAATCAGCAGAGTCTGTCTTACTTTTCAATGTGTATCTCCAGGGCTTAGCACAGCACTTTGCATATAGGAATCCCTTAATAAATCATTTTCATTCATTCAGTTATCCTGCATAATTCTTCATTGCTAAAATGTTGCAACTTAGCCATGTTCCCTCACTCACTTCTCCCTTGTTCTTTAATGATCTGAAACTTTATTTCAGAGAATGTGGTATATTTTCTATGACTTTTAGCTAGCATAGTGTCTGGCATGCAGTAATTATTTAATAAATACTTGTTGATGGATTTCTTGGTACAAAATCCTTGGAAGACTATTGGTATTAAAAACCAAAATGGTCTTTTATTTCAGTAAGTAAGGGCAGCTGAAACCACGATGCAATTTCTCAGAGTCAATTCAGCCCATTTTTCTCATTCTAGTCAATTTGAGATCTAACTCACTGTCCATTTGTATTGTTTGTTCAAGATCAAGCAACTCTGCAAGTTGCTTATGCAATTGTATATTGTAGTCTGGACAAGGGTTATTCTTCCTTTATTTGTTTTTTTTTCCCCAACATGAATATTTAGGCCACAGTCTTCTGAGTGATTATGGATTTCATTTAATATTCACTTATTCATTGAACAAACATTTATCAATTACCTATGTACCAGAAAACAATCTACCCACATTCTATCAGGAAAACACCATACATGTAGAAAATTAAATTAAAAAATACATATATAATAGACAGAAAGTGATTTCTTGGGAATGGAAGGACACCAGTGACTAAAGGAACTGGGATAATCTTTCTGTAGGAGTGCTGTTTGAATTGAACTTTAAAGGAAGTTATGGACTCTAAGAGTTAGAAGTGAGGAGCAGGTGCATTCTAGGGATGAGAAAGAGCTTGTACAGTCATAGAGGTACAAGATATAATCCTATGTATAGGGTAAATCAAATAGTCCAGTTTGGCTTGGACTGTTCCGAGCATGATTCAATCTACACAATGTCATTTGCAAAAAGATCTATTTCAAGGACCTCACTGTCTATAAGAAATGCTTTTTCCATTTGAACTCTGGGCCAGATATCCTCTATGACAGTGGTCATGATCACAAAGGTCTATGACACCTTTGGCAAGCATATTTCTCATTAGTAATTTCCTACCTGGTAAAATATACTCAATTTCATTTTTTATGATGTGATTTTGTGCTCTCCTTGCTGACATACTTAAAGGAAGCATTCATGAGCTAAGTAGCTAAGCAGGAATGTTTTCTTTTTCATCTTTGTAGTCTTATTGCCTACCGTAGTACCTGTCACATATTAATCTTTAATAGACACTTAATTGATTAATTGATATGTGTAAGGCTTCTATATAGCCTGTAAGTCTTTGACCTCTCTTGCTTTGTACTTTTCAACTGTGGTTCTTGCTTTCCTCCCCATGCCTACCTTTATGCTGAAGCCACTGAATAGTAAAATATATTCCAGTTTAATTGGGAGAATCTTACTGACTTTTCTTTAAATTTCTCTATATTCCATAATATATATTGGGTAATATTCGTTTTCGGTGCTGTTCAGTCATTCAGTTGCGTCTGACTCTTTATGACCCCATGGACCATAGCATGCCCAGGCCCTTCTGTCCTTCACTACCCCCAAAAGTCTGTCCAAGCTTATGTTAATCGCTTCCATGACACTGTCTATCCATTTCATCTTCTGCCATCCCCTTTTCCTTTTGCCTTTAATATTTTGCAGCATTAGGGTATTTTTTTAATAGTCCTGTCTTCTCATTATGTGGCCAAAATATTTAAGTTTCTGCTTCAGTATTTGACCTTCCAGTGAATAGTCTGAAGTAGTTTCTTTAAGTATTGACTGATTTGATCTCCTTGCTATCCAAAGGACTCCCAAAAGTCTTCTCTAGCATACAATAAAAAAGTATTGATTCTGAAGTGCTCAGCTTTCCTCATAGTCCAACTCTTACAGCCATATTGCTACTAGAAAGACCATAGTTT